CTTGCAGGGCAAGAGATGGATCAAAGGGACTAGTCACAGAGTGTAATATACAGTGATTCAGCAAGAACCCATTGCTGAATCTGGCACACAAAATACCACAATCAATACAAAAATATACAATATTATATCAAACAATATGTTTATACAAGAATCAGGGCTTGCAGAGCAAGAGAAGAAAAATAATAGAAAACTACCATCAACTGTATATACCGTAGTCCATCAGATAGGTAATCATTACTAATACACAAATCAGCAGGGCTAACAACAATATAAAATCCATAATAAATACTCAATCTACCCAATATACGAGTTAAAAATTGTATAAACAAGAGACAGGGCTTGCATAGCAAGGGAAGAAAAATAAGAGGACCAGGTAAAAAGTGTTTATTAGAGTACCCAGTGAAAATTAAACTTAAAAAAAAGAGTATTTACAGTGTATTATACACTCAAATATATTAAATGTCTAAGACCATCCTGAGAATCCTGGCTGATCCAAGCAGAGCTGTCTTCTGGAGATTAGAGATGCTCAGATTGCAGTGGACTGCGTCGAGGTGTTTACGAAAGTTTATGGTGATAGTTCCTAATGCGCCTATCACCACAGGGACGATTGTGACCTTTCGTAAATTCCAGTTCTTCTTAATTTCTCTTTTCAGGTCTTGATATTTCAGAATCTTTTCTTGTTCTCTATCCAAGATCCGGGTATCTCCTGGGACTGCAACGTCAATGATGGTTGCTGCGTTGGTTACCTTGTCTACCAGGAGGAGATCCGGTCTACAGTGTTCGATAACGTGGTCCGACTGGACATGGAAGTCCCACAATATCTTGACTTGTCCGTTCTCCAGCACCTTCTCTGCCCGGTGTTCGTACCACCTTTTACTGCGTGGGAAGCCGTATTCCTTGCACAGACTCCAGTGCAATGCGGCAGCTACTTTGTCATGCCGACACTTATATTCTGTCTGTGAAAGTTTTGGGCACCCATTCAGTATGTGGTCTATTGTCTCGTAATGATTTCTGCAGAGTCTGCAGAGGGGAGAAGAGCCAGGTGTTTTGTCAATCCTGTGCTTCACTTAATTAGTCCTAAGTGCTTGGTCTTGAGCTGCTATCAACAATCCTTCTGTCTCCTTCTTCAAATCTTGTTGGGTGAGCCAGTTCCAAGAGGTTAACGGGTCTGCTGTACCCATCATCTGCCTTGGGAACTGTCCGTGCATCACTTTAGCAGTCCATTTCTCCTTGCGGATTTCCTCGCGTTGTGTTCGGTCAATATCTTTCTCTATCTCTTCACCCAAGAGTATCTTGTCTTTGACAAAGTAGTCCTTCAGAGCAATCAGTTCTGGGTCTCTACTTCTCACCACATAAGTGGTGAGTGCATTCTCCTCTCTCTTAACGACTTCCTCTATACTATGTAGCCCACGGCCACCCAGTTGACGGCTGACGTATAACCGATCAACATCTCCTTGGGGGTGGTGAGCTCCATGTATCCTCATCAGTTTCCGGGTCTTGACATCTAAGGCTTTGGTCTCCCCAGCATTCCATGAGAGAATTCCAGCTCCATATCTTATCACAGGTACAGCCCAGGTGTTAATCGCTTGTATACTATTCCTGCCATGAAGCTGGGATTTCAAAACCTTTTTAACTCTTCTGATATACTCTTTTGTAACCAGTGCTTTCATCTCTTTGTGTAGTATATCATTAGCTTCTAGTATTCCGAGATACTTATAGCCGTCGTCCTCCAACTCATGGATCTGTTCACCTGTGGGTAGGGAGATGCCTTCAAAAACGGCTCTTGCTCCCTTCTTCACCTTCACCACGGCACATTTCTCTAGCCCAAATTCCATTTTTATGTCACTGCTGAACTCTGCTGTGGTATTAACCAGTGTGTGCATTTCGTCTTCACTCTCGGCATACAACTTGAGGTCGTCCATATATAGCCTATGCGACACTTTCGGTTGACCTCCTCTCTCCAGAGAGTATCCTATGTCATGCTTATTCAAAAGAATGGACAGGGGTATAAGACTAATGATAAAGTGGATAGGTGAGACTGAGTCTCCTTGGAATAGACCTCTATTAATTTTAATTCTCCCAAGGGAAACTTTACCAAGCATCAGGTTAACATACGATTGTTTGAAGGAGGCTTCAAACAGGTCTATGATGCATGAAGAGATGCCACACATGGTCAAACAAGATAGAATCCAGGAGTGTGGGACGCTATCATACGCCTTCTTGTAGTCTATAAACGTCATGTTCAGGTTCCGCTTCCTTCGTTTACAGTTCTTCAGGATGAGTTTGTCTATCATTAACTGTTCTTTACATCCTCTACTCTTCTTCTTGCACCCTTTCTGCTCAGGGGGGAGGAGCTTTTGCTGGTCTAAATGGTGGTAAATGGAATCTGAGATTAGACCAGTGAACAGTTTCCACATAGCTGATAAGCAAGTAATAGGTCTGAAATTGCCTGGGATGGGTCCTTTCGAGTGGTCCTTGATGAGCAGGTACGTGCGTCCCAATGTCATCCAGTCTGGGATATCAGCGTTGCTTAGGCAATTCATAAGTTGATCTGCAATCCTATTGTGGAGTTCTTTAAAGTGCTTTATCCAATAAGCATGCAGTCCGTCTGTACCAGGAGAGGACCAATTAGTCATTTTCTTCACTCTATCTGCAACCAGGGTGTTAGTTATAACAAACTGTCTCTGTTCATCTGCTGAGGCTAGTGCTGTTCTGACATCCGGTAACCATTCAGCATCACTGTTGTGTTCAACCGGCTGCTCCCATATGTTCTTCCAGAACTTCAGACAAGAATCCTTGTCAGCCTCAGGGTGGGAGATATCCTGTTCTTCAGGGTTTGTTTGAAGGTTTCTGTAGAACTGCCTCTGGTTGTTTCCAAACAACTTGTTCTGGTGGTATCGTTCGCATCTTTTATTAAATCTCTTTATCTTAGCTGCTTTTGCGCGAAGACGTTGCTTGAGCTCCTCAATGATGCATGGTATACCCTTTTTCTTCAACAGAGGGTGACGTCTGTTGAGCCCTTCTAGTATTTTTTGTTTAAGGGTAGTACCTTTCTTCTTCTCCTCAAGGTAGGAGATGTCTTTCCTAACCTGGGTAATCTTATCTTCGATTCTTCTTTTCCATAGTGGAGTTTTCCGTTTCCCTGTATTCTTATTTGCAGGTTTTTCACCAAGTCTTTCGCTGACTAAATGTGCCCCTGCAAGCAATAGGGTGTTGGTTTCAGTGATTGAAGAAGTTGGAATCTCTGCTATACATGAGTTGATGAGAGATGTTTCCTCCATAAGCTTCTTTCTGTTCACATGTCTCAGGGGCTTGGTTTCTATCACTGAAGGGTCTTCTAGGAGCCTTTTTAGCCGTTCAATGATTGCCTCCTTGTCAAAATCAGGTACCGTTGTGGTGGGGGTGAGTTCTTCGGCGGCGACAGTTGGGATAGTTGCATCCCTCAACGTCCTGATTGCTTGGGAGACTGTGGGTAAAGCTTGAGTTGTCGTTGTTGGAGCCTCTTCCACTACGCTAGGTGGAAGAGTACCTCGAATCTCCAGTAGTTCTATGTCTGAAAGGAGATTATTATTTCTGATTGACCTTGCTTGGTCTGCCAATCTTTGTTCCGTACAAGTGAAGAGTCCGGCATCATCCCACAGTGATCGGAGTCTTCTCCTGTAACCAGAGCGGGATGGTTGGCTCTGGTAATACAGCGTCATGAGCTGTATGTTGTCCTCCTTGCTCCACGTGTGCCGAGTGGAAGTCTCCGTGCGAGCCTTCCTCTCACGTCGAGCTGGAGGGATGATGTTAGGTTGTTGATCCTGCTCTGACCCATTAGTAGGGAGAGTAGGAGAGTTTGAAAAATTTGAGAGAGAATTCATATCATAACTGGGGGACTTAGTATACCCCCTAGAGAGTTGGCAGGGAAAACAGAGCACTGAGCGTTGCCCCGCGTCGCCCAGCTCCCCTGGGTAGTAGACTCGTTAGTAACCATTTAACCCATGGCCACGCATCCTTTTGTCACGAGTCCACAACTTAAGATTGGGGGACTTCTGCAGGTCAGTCCATGCCCGATAAGAAAACCACTAGGTGTCAATTGCACCTAGTCAACAAACCAAGAGCTAGAGCAGAAGGATACAAGAATTTAACCAACGAGAGGCAAGAAAGGGAATTAACCGGGGGACAATTAACAAACAATACAATGAAATATAAAATGATTACAATGTTATAATTACTCGAGTATAGTAACATTATAGATAGTAATATTTCCAAAGGAATGATATTCTTTCAGTACCAGCAGTCTGTGCTGCTATGATATGGAATAAAAATCAGGGGATATATTATCTTAAAATACTGCTTTCTCAGTTACAGATATTTTTCTTGGTTTTTCCATTTTGTGCTTTTTTTTTTCTTTTTTTTTTCTTTTTAACTTTTTTTGTAATTTTCTTTTCTTTTTTCCCTCCTAAACATGAATATTAAGCAAGTACAAAATCTCATGATAACATTAAGTGATGTTGAGAAGGGACATAAGAGCCTGAGGTTCTGGTGGTCTACAGGTGTTTCACCAGCTGTTTGATCAAGTTCTAGCCCGTTACTTGGACTAGTAACGGGGGAACTAACAGTGTTAATAGTTTAAACTTTGTGCTATAACTGAACCTCAGGAAGAAGACATCTGGCAATGCCAGGGAGTGAGTAGCTCTAGCCGGCAGCCATCCAATGGACTGCTGCCGTTACCGACCCCGGGGGTGCTGACCACGAGTATCAGCCTCGGACCCACTACTCACTAGCTCTGGTGTTCTGAGCGGGGGCCTTATTATTATTATTATTATCCGTAAAATTATGACATCTCAATGTTAAGTTTTTAAATTTTCTGATACTTTGAATTGTAATAGTATGTTAGACTTCATAGAGACATAGTCTTTTTTAATTGTACATTTTATCGATGGTAAAGCAGATATGATGATTTTTAGAGTAAGCAGATATGATGATTTTTTTCTTGATCATCTCTTGAATTAAACAGTAACCATCCAGTAGGAAGTCAGCACCATGACCACCACACAAAGCATTTCATTATTCGGAGAGCGTGAGAAGGGAGAGTCTGTTCGAACCCAGAACATGACCGCTGCCGTCGCTATCGCTAACATCGTCAAAAGCTCTCTGGGACCTGTTGGTCTCGATAAAATGCTGGTCGATGAGGTTTGTAATATTCTGCTGACCTAATCTCATGTACTACTGTATACTGTATATATAATACAGTACTAACTATATTTTGATGTTATGTTACACGTATGAATAAGAAGCTTTATTTTATCCTGTGTATGGTTTGCAGCACAGATGTTTGGCTATAATGAACTCAGCCCTAAACTTAGTATTCAGATTGTGTAATTTATAAGTAAAGATTTAAAAGCACGCACAAAATGTCACTTACCTTTTAATAATGATAAATTGCACTGAAATTTGTGTTTGTAAATTTCTGTTATTATTTAGTCCTGAACCAGTACTTTGGTACCAACCGAGATGGTTGTGTATATACGATATTTATTGTCCACGTAAACTGTGCATTTGACATTACTCGACTCTAAACTCTTCTAGTTGCTATGGTAATATTTGCAAAGTTATATTGGGCTGTTTCATAGTTTGCATCAATGTCTTGAAGTGTGTCGCTTAACTGGCCGAACAAATTGTCATCTGGCCCAACAAGTTGTCGATTGTCATAATTCACGGATCCCAGTGGAAGTGTAGTTTAACAGCGGATATGTGAATATTGTGCACTATACTGACTGCACTTCTCACACATCACAATTAACTTAATCTTAAATTAGCACTTTATGAATTTGATATTATATCTCTCTAGACCTGTGTTAAGGGAGTAGGGGGTATTTTTGAAATTCCTCTCGATATCGATTTTATAAGTGTTTCTATTAGAGGGGAGTGATATCTATCTGCTGCTTTTGGTCCTATAGAAAAATTTGTTCCTAGCCAGGAGGTGACCGGGATTGGCAATTTTCAGCTATCCCGGTCCCGGTCAACCGGGTCAAGTCAAATTTTTCGTCGCGGTCCCGGTCCCGGTCAAATGCTGATTTATGATCCCGGTCCCGGTTAATTCAGGATTCTTGGTCCCAGTCCCGGTCCCGGTCAATCACTCAAATTTGCCGGTATTTTGACCGGGATATTTTACATAATTTCATTCACTGTGATTTTAAGTTTTTACTTTCATTCATTGTGAATTTCATCTTTAAACAACCTCTGAGCCAAATAAAACAATGTTTAAAATTGCTAAACAAGTTTACTAGTTTAGGTAACTAATATCGTTACATAACTCATAAGTGCAAACTAACATCAAGTTTTCAACTCGGGCTACGCCCAATTGTCAATTGGAATTGGAGAATGAAACTGTTGAATAATTTGAGGGATCATTGATCGAGGAATGAGGAATGAGGGTGAACTTGAGTAATCAGTACATGAACATTATTGGTGTAGTACATTAGGCCCATGCCCCATATTGACGGTTTTTTTTTCAATTATAATGTTAATGAAAGTTGCAGCTTTCAATATGAGAATACCAGTTTTGGTCCCGGTCATCCCGGTCATCCCGGTCAAATCCTGGTCATCCCGGTCAAATCCCGGTCATCCCGGTAAAATTGGATTGTTGGTCCCGGTCCCGGTCCCGGTAAGATAGAAATCCCAGAAATTATTGGTCCCGGTCCCGGTCACGGTAAATTGATAATCTCAGTCCCGGTCCCGGTCAAGTCACATTTTGTATCCCGGTCCCGGTCCCGGTCAGGCCTAAAATCATGTCCCGGTCACCTCCTGTTCCTAGCCGAAGTTATTGCCGGTCAAAGGTCAGCGCTCATGAGTAATTGTATTGTGTGAGCTGTTTTAAATTGTGCGTACCGAAAATCGAGTCTAAAAATCCATCTTCTTCTACAGTTTTTGAGCAATCACCCTAAAACGTTCAGGACATTTTGTCAAATTTCTGTCCGACCAGAATCTTCTAAATGATCCTTAGAACATATCTTGAAAGTTTCACGGTGATAGCTCATAAGGGTCACGAAATCCTCTCCGAACCTCCACGTGGTGTGGCCTGGTTGGTACTAACGGGTGGTGTGCTCTCTTGTTGAGTACAAAGGTTGGGCCTTGCCAACTCAAAGTTCCCATAGGAACCAGGAAGTCAACACTAACAGCTACCAAGCACCAGGAAATTTCTCTTTCAGATATCAGGTTACAAGATAGTACACACACAAATGACGATACATTGGACACAGATACCTAGCTCTAAGAGCTACTAAATCACCAGGAAATTCTCTTTCAGCTTTCAGGTCCCATCGAAGTCACCCACCACAGAGCTAGGGATTCCAATTCGCTCATCCTGACTACAAGGACACACTGATATTGAGTAGTCCTGGCACTTCTCCCTCCAGTAACCACTTTTCAGGTCTTTTCAGTTAAAACAGCTAATGCGTAAGGGCTGACACACGCTAGACACAGGCTCGTGATAAGACAGAATTAGGGATTTAAACTCTGACTACGAGGACACACTGATAGCGAGAATTCCTGACACTTCTTCCTCCAGTAACCACTTTTCAGGGGACCGGGTTAGCTTTGCCACACTCTTCATTGAAGTGTGACTGGACGCTCTACAATCATCTAGTAGCAGCAGAGTTTGACTGACACCCTTACTGGTTCTATTCAGTTTCTACAGCGGAAGATCTCAACACTCGAAAACAGTTCATCTCGGACATCCTGCAGAGCTGCTTTTTCACAGCCTGCCCCATTACACGGGGAACCCTTAGATCTACAGTACCCTGGTGGCGAGCATAGCTCACTAAAGCATAGTGGACCTCTTTAGTTCTGAGACGCAAAGCTAACCGGATCAGGAATAAACATCAATGCAATGCTTAGGGGATGCAAATAGAACATACAATGTTTATCGAATGCATTACTCAATCTTTTGATTCATTTTTTTAGCTCGACGTTACATGGTAACATTTCAGGACTGACATTCCTCCTTCAGGTTAATTGAGGAAATCATACCCGCTATTTGCGTTATACATGGCAAGTATCTGGACTTATGATAACTTAGGATCTCCATCAATCATAAATTCCTCTCAGATTCCCAGGCTGCATTTAAAGCGCTTAACAGCACCAGTTTTAACTCCAGGTTCGTTCTGAACATCTCAGACCAACTCACTAGGTATTCACATCGAGTAGGACTTCGTTCCAGGACATTAAGGAGTATACGGTAAAGAACTAGCGGAAGAATTCGCAAGGGACGATCAATCCAACAACATCCCCATAGGACCAGAACCCTTCCTCCCAAATAGGCCACACTCAGTGACAAAGGAACATTCCACTTGTGATGTTCCTCCACAAATTAAATACAGGAACTTTTATTTTTCTGGAACTCACATCAGATGGCTAACATGGTCGCTTTCAGAATAGGTCACAGCCCACTAGTTTATTTTCAGAACGTGGCAAACAACGTCAACTTCAAGACGCAAGATTGCGAACACTTTTCAGGAGAAGCAGCAACATCCCAGCACCTCCTCTACAAGTGCATCCAGATCATGACGTTCAGAATGAGAATAATTGGTAAACTCTACCTTAACACCAGTAAACTACATCATATCTTCAAATTTGTGGAACAGTCGACAAGACTGGATAGGGAAAACTCTTTTGGGTAACCTCCTTGGATTCTTCACCAGGAACTTTCGCTAAATCCCATACTAGGAACTCAACCTAGGCCCATCTCCGCATAGAGACATATCTCCCAGGCTTTGACCTTGCTCGGAAGTCCCTTGTCTACCGCAGAAGTACTACAACGGAAGTGGGTTTGCTCTGAGACAGGTAGTGACAGCTTCAAGACTCCAGGGGTCTGTTGCATTGATATTTATTATTTTATGATTTCGTATATACCCCAGGTCAATATCATTACATATTTCGCATATTAATATACGACATATTTCGAAGGAAAACCACGACATAATAACAAAATTATTGTTAAATTTTGTTACAAATTAATTTAATTTCAGAAATAGTTGATTACAGAATTCCTTTTTAAAAAAATTTTCGAAAAAATTTCTTGAAAAAATTTTGCGAATATTTTGATATTTTCATGACATCCGAAATCATGACATCCGAAATCTTGACATCATGTCATGATTTACAAATATCTGAGAAAGTTCACGCATATTTTTACCTGTATTTTACAGGCAAAACTTGACATGAAAAACGTCCCCGCATATTTGATAAGATGAGCGCATATTTGACATGGATCTAAATATCTGACGGGGGATATCATATAAAAAATATCCTTGTGTTTGAAAAATTATATCAAAAAAGTTAAGAATTTTTTAATAAATTTTTCTAGGACTCGCCTGTAGCAGGCTTTGTCCCCCTGGATCGGGCTCTGCCAATTTGGATCATTGTGGGGCCCAAAAATGCCGCATCGGGTGATAAAAACCATGACATATTTCACCCAGATATAATAATATACGACATATTTTTAATGATATTGACCTGGGGTATATACTTTGGGAGTCCTGGCGTGCAGCTAGCAGGAGTTGCATTCTGTGGGCACGGTGAGAAGGCCTCCATCTTAACGTAAGAGGCCAGAAACCGTTGACCAGAACAGAGAGAGAGAGAGATAGCTCATAAACTGTACAGAAGAAGATGGATTTTTAGACTCGATTTTCGGTACGCACGATTGCAAATCGATCGCGTAATAAAATTGCACATGAGCGCTGACCTTTTACCGGCGATAGCTTCGGCCAGGACCAAAAGTAGCAGATAGATCTCACTCCCCTCTAATAGAAACAATTATAAAATCAATTTCGAGAGAAATTTGAAAAAGACCCCCCGGCCCCCTTAACTGTTGTCACCAGTAGCAGCTGGAACCAATTCGTACTGAATTAACCACCATGTTGTAACACACTGTGCCTCAGGTGGGTGATGTGACAGTAACCAATGACGGAGCTACTATCCTCAAGTTACTCGAGGTTGAGCACCCAGCTGCCAAGGTGCTGTGCGAGTTGGCACAGCTCCAGGATGAGGAGGTTGGTGACGGAACCACCAGTGTTGTCATCATTGCTGCTGAGCTTCTTCGTGCTGCAAACGAGCTCATCAAAATGAAAGTTCATCCTACCACTATCATCAACGGATACAAGTTAGTTTTTACTGGTTCCAGATAATATGTTTATTGTGGCTATTGTATGTTTTTAAGTGGAGTAAAAGTTCCAATAAGTTAAATAAATCATGTGATAAAAACATTTTAGTTGTAAACCCTCTAGCTTAAATTCCAATCTCAAAGTTCCCACCGAAAGTGAATCAGCTGAGTTAATAAAACTTGTTACTTTCAGGTTGGCCTGTAAAGAGTCTGTAAAGTTTATCCAAGATAACTTGTCAGTACCCGCTGCCGATCTCGGAAAGAACTGCCTCGCTAACGTTGCTAAAACCTCCATGTCCTCCAAGATTATCGGTTCTGATAAGGACTTCTTCTCCAACATAGTCGTACAGTGCGCTGAACTGATCAGGTTCACTAACACTAGAGGAGAACAGAAGTGTCCCATCAAGACCATTAATATCCTGAAAGCTCATGGTAAATCCGTCAGAGAGAGTCAGATGATCAAAGGATACGCTCTCAACTGTACTGTGGCTTCTCAGCTGATGCCTAAGTCTATAAAGAATGCCAAGATTGCCTGTATTGATTTCAGCCTCCAGAAATCTAAGATGAAGTTAGGAGTGCAGGTAGTTGTTGACGATCCTGAGAAGTTGGATGCCATCAGACAAAGGGAATCTGACATCACAAAGGAGAAAATACAACTTATCCTGAATTCTGGAGCTAATGTGATCCTGACAACAGGAGGTATTGATGACATGTGTCTGAAATACTTCGTAGATGCTGGTGCATTGGCTGTCAGAAGGTGCAAGAAAGAGGATCTGAAGAGAATTGCACGAGCCACCGGTGCCGCACTCGTTGCTTCCCTCTCAAATCTGGAAGGTGAAGAGTCATTCGAGCCATCATTCCTTGGTGCTGCGGATGAGATCTGCCAGACTAGAATCTGCGATGACGAGCTGATTATCATCAAGGGAACCAAAGCTAAACCAGCAGCTTCCATCATCCTACGTGGAGCCAACGACATCTACGTGGACGAGATGGACAGATCCGTCCACGATTCCCTGTGTGCCGTCAAGAGAGTTATCGAATCCAAGGCAGTCGTACCAGGTGGTGGCTGTGTGGAGGCAGCTCTTTCTATCTACTTGGAAAACTTCGCCACTTCTCTGGGCTCCAGAGAACAGCTTGCTATTGCTGAGTTCGCACAAGCTATGCTTGTTATCCCTAAGACCTTGGTTGTCAACGCCGCTAAAGATTCGACAGAGCTCGTTGCTAAGCTGCGTGCTTTCCACAATGCATCTCAGACGATTGAAGCTAAGAGAGCGTTCAAGTGGATCGGACTGGATCTGGAGAACGGAAAGTGCAGAGATAACAAAGATGCAGGAGTACTGGAGCCAGCTATGAGCAAAATTAAGAGCTTGAAGTTTGCTACGGAGGCTGCAATTACAATCCTCAGAATTGATGATATGATCAAGATCTACCAGCCCAGCAAAGAAGATCCAAACTCGTACGCAAATGCTGTCAGAGAAGGACGAATGTAAACTAACTCTTAGTTTTTTATTAGCTTGTGGGCTTTTATGTTCGACATCTTTTTGTACAGTTTTTTTCAAGCACGCAGGTCATGTTATTATATCTATTTGATTATTCTATTAATTTATAGAAAGTATTTTGTCGCTTTGACCTTCGTAAACTAACGAATAATCTCTTTCTCCAACTTAAAGTATAAGGATATCTGTGGCAATCTTTGGCATCACAAATCCTCAATTTGCTTTTACCGTTGAGTAAAATGCTCAAAAGTCCACCGAATTTGAAACACGCAAGAACATTCTGTTATTGAAAGCACGTTTTTCAGCATTCGCAAAGTTGATCTTGTGCGTGCGCGGCGCGATTTCTAACGGTTAGATTCTTCTCGAAGTAATATAGCAACAGCTTTCGTATGCATCTTACTATCTGCGAATAACTCTGAGCGTTCACTATGATTGAAACGTATTACGTATACATTGTCTATGAGCTTTTGAAGACTGGCTAGCAACCATTTTAAGTCAACATCTCGATTTCGTCTTGCCCATGACCTCAACATCTGTGGAATATGACAGTTAGTTCCGCCTCAATCCGACTAGGCTTGATAATTTAATACTGTAGTTCTAATACCTTGGTCAGTTATCAGTTTATTATCCCTGTCCTATACAAATGGCGAACTAATTTTACAGCGAGTTCTGTATTTAATGTCAAAGAAACTATATGGGTCATGATGTAAGATGTTGTTGATAATACGTAATCACCCTCGATGGTAAAATTCTCGATGGCTAGGTCTTGAAAAATATTTATGATCAGAGTGACATGAATTGTGGAAAAAAGTAGTTTCCAGGAAAACTTTACAAGTGTTTCGGCCCGAGTCATTCTCAAATTACTTACATTGAAAGGCAGACTCCCCGCTTCCGAACTCGTATTGCATATGGGAGGCCTGCCCTCTGAGATCGCAGGGGGAGCCTCGACTCCAAGATCGTACATCGAGGGTGAGGTGGGGACTTCGAAATCGAGGTAGAAAACATGAAAACTTAATAAATTTCGGAAATGTTTTTACTGGATTGTTTTCAGTTTGAAAGACAAAACGTTTAGTACCAAATTTAAGATATTTGAAAAACAAATGTTTTCACAAATTTAACAATTTTTATATAGGAGGGACCTTTTGTTGGAAAATTGTTGAGGTCGAAATAGGATAAAAATTGACATACGTTGCATGCCACTTTTCGAGCGCGCCGCCGAAGGCGGAAAAAGGACATAATCAATAATATTCTGATATTTGGGGTACGAAACATGTATCAAGATACGAAAACATGTATCAAGATAAAAAGGCAAAAAATTTCCTTTAGGTGTTCGAAATGATATTTAGATTTTAAATGAATATTTGATTTAAATTATTTCGTCCTTCTAGCTTTTGTACAAAATTGGGTCTTGATAATACCAAATACGGTTGATTAGGGACAAGGGAGGGGGTAAAAATTGCTAAAATATTGATAACGTTATATGTGAACGACCACTAATAGTAATAGTAATGTCTAAAGAAAACTGAAAAGGTCATGCCTCCTTTCTTGCCGGCTTCTGGCATGCATTTTATACCCCGAATATTTTATTCCGCTTCCACCGTAGGTTTAGGCATTAAGTGGACGGGATGATACACAAATCGGAGTCAGGAGTGCGGAGATAAAAATACCTAGAACTGAGAACTTAGAATTCTGGAAAAATTAGACTGAAAAAATATACGGTTGACCGCGTACACCCCGATTATGCGAAGGATTGACATCGTCAATTAAATTTAATAATTGGTGGAAAATGTAGTGTCTGTACCGGTCTGTATTACTATTATAGTAATAGTAATACTATACTAGCGGTGCTGCGGTGTACAAATATACATTATAAATGATGTTAATGGTTAAAATAAAAATAACCAATACTAATAGCGCATCATCACCATTTATCGTCTCCGGCAGGGTTTTCGGCAACACGGGTCCGTATCACAGTGCTGGCAAGCTCGACCGTTGCATTTATTGTGGGTATACTTTGTTCCCCATTTACTATTATACCCCCTTTACTATTATACCCCTTTTACTATTATACCCCCTTTGGTACACGTTACAAGCCTCTTTTGTGCACGCGAAGCGTGCACTCCGGCCGGAGGCGGCGGCCGAAGGCAGGAGTTTTCCGGCAGGAGTTTTCCAGGCATTAAGACTCATCGGAAGTCGTTCAGCAGATTTATTTTTAGTTCAAAACATTCTAATTTGATGTCAAAGATGACAGGAATAAAAAATAGTTATGTTCAGATTTTTAAGAAATTTGCATAAAATACTCGCCAGCACAGGCTTATTATACGAAATTCGGTAAAAACCCAAAATCGCCATATTCAGGTGCCCTAAAAACCATGTTAAAATTGAGTTAGAGATCTGAAATTTTTCAGGGCGTCTAGGCGTTGACCAAATTGACTGCAAAAAAAGTTTCAGGTTTCAGGAGCATCGGGAAATGGGTTTTCTAGAACCCCTGTTTTACGACAGATTGTCGGGACATATACATACAGATTGAGATATACATATATATTCAGGGATAGACGCTTTGCCAGTCAATTGTAGCCTGTATTTAAGTGTCCATAGATTCAAAAGTATAAAAGATACAGCCATTTCCGACCACAGGTCTTGCAAATAATTGTTTACACTTTAGTTTACATTGTATACAAATTTATTTGACGTCATAAACACCCCTTGATGACGTCGTCAAGTTAACCGTTTTTAAAACTTGATTTTTGACAAAGTAATAACTTTTAAAATTAATTTTAACCCATTAAGGAGTAATTTTATTCAAAATCTGAGGAAATTTTTATCTCAGATAATTGTTCAAGCATTCTGAAAATCTACCGGAAAGTTTTTCTAGCTTGCTCCTTCATAAAGATATTTGTCATTGAAGTTTGTGCTTTTTTGAAGAATTATTTTATAAAAACGTCAATTTTGCGATTTAGTATTCTTTGGTGTTGGGCCATGCCTTGGGTTGTGGAGCTCAGTTCTGCTTCCTATAGGTATAAATTGTGCATTAGGCTAGTTTTAAAGTTGAAAATCGAAAAGTTGCACACGTGGGGACACGCCCAAATTGATAGAAAATTGCTAAAATCACTGAAAATTGCTGTTTTCGTCATTTTCTGTCAACTTTAGAGTGCCGTTGTGATTACAGTTCTTCTTGAAATACTTTGAAACTTTGCATGCTTATCAAGCTGTATATAAAACAATTACATGCAAAAATTTACGGCGATTCAATATTGGATGCGCATGCAACGTCCGCTCAAAGTTTGCACGTGCGAAAGGTGAGAATTTTGCTCATTCGTGATTTCCAACAAATTCTGCTTTGCCACGACAGTTTAATGTCATTATATATGAATTTAATGTCAACTTGAATGAGTATTAAGTGGTATATTCAGTCAGTGATCGACCGATATGCTTACCTAAACACAAGGAAATGTTTTTAAAGGAAAAATTTCGAAATCGTTGAAACTTCCTCCTTATTATGATTATAATGAAGATATCAGTTTATATTTCGACTTTATAAAGTACCCTGACATTATAATCAAAAAGAGATGATATTTTACCAAAACCCATAATCATGGGTAGAGTGGCAGTGGACCGCTGCCAGTGTCTCTCTTTCCCAAACAAAAGGAAATGATATTAATTTGATTGACCGTTCTCAAATGCAAAATGATACCGATCAGAATGAAATCGGTCGCTCGCTTTTCCCATTCATTTACAATTGTAATAGATTAAGAAGAACTACCCAAAGGCAGCTGTACTCGGCAATAAAGATTCAATAAACTTCAGCTAATGCAATAAGTGATAACTACCACCCTTACCCCGAAATACTAGGTATCGACCCGAACGCAACCCAAAGAGATTTTTACAGCATCTGATTGACATGTAATCAATCGAAAATTATTACAATTCGTAAGCCGTGAATGAATGGGAAAAGCGAGCGACCGATTTCATTCTCGGTATCATTTTGCATTTGAGAACGGTCAATCAAATTAATATCATTTCCTTTTGTTTGGGAAAGAGAGACACTGGCAGCGGTCCACTCTACCCATGATTATGGGTTTTGGTAAAATTACCCGATTTAAGTTATACAAAAGCCAGTGGATGGCTAGCGCAAGCTAGCAGGCGCCTCACGGAGATGCACTAAAATGCAGCATTTATAGTACCTAGCGGATGGCTTAATGGCTAGCGGAGTATAGCGGACACCGGCGCAAACTAGCAAAGAATAGTACTAGCTTTGATACATGTTTCGTATCCCAATATCGCGCGCGCGAAAAGTGGCATGCAACGTATGTCAATACTAGCTTCATTAACAATTAACACATCCGATAGTTTTCGCTATAGCTATCCGATATTGCTGCTATAGGTCCGCTAGTTTTTCTGTAACTTAAATCTGCAAAATCGGCTATATACGGACCCGTGGCAAGCCGCATTCCTTATTAATTGACGATGTCAATTCAATTTCATCGCAGCTCGGCGAGGTACAGTAGCGCATTTCGCCGATCTAGCTGTGAGAAGCCTCATTGAGTGCGCGGCGCGGCACAGTAACGCATCGCGATACAACATTCCTTATAATTTAATAAATATTTATAATAGATGGTCGTGCCTTACGAGAATGTAAGGGTGGCAATTGGCAATATAAATATAATGACATGCCCATCATATATTTCCCAATTTTTGGTCAAATTAGCATGGACATCGTTGGGGTTGGCCCCTATACTACCCCAATTGCGCTATCTATTTTAATTGGGAATTATAATTAACCCACAAAAGTCGTTAACCGCTAAAATCGCATTTTTGGTCTGACAAGAATTGACTTATTAGTATTAGGGGTCGTTCACATTGACAATTGACATATTACTATTAAATATTAGTAATAGTATTACGCTATCACTTTTTGGGCTTTTACTAATTCGCTCGCCCAAAAATTTCACGTGACTTTGGTTTTTATGGTTTTGCAGCCGTACAAAACGGTTTTACATAAACCCTAATCCCAACCCTAACCGGAACCCGGTAACCATAACCCCGAAGCTAACCATAACCCTTACTACAACCCTAACCCTAACCCGAGCCCTAAACAATCGAATTCGTATTTTACTAGCCTGTCACGTGACCAAAACGGTTTTTTGCCCATAACTCTCCAGGGAAGCATTTTAACCCTTCGTCATGGGGGGTGATTCGGAATCAGCGTCCAAAAATACCAATACACCGAGTACACTTTCAAGGGCCTTTTCACAAGATGCAAGAATTTTCTTAAAATTTGGGCGAGCGTTTTAGTAGGAGCGCACTTTTTTACCCCTCTGCAACCAGCTTTACACGTAGCTGTTGTGCTGAAACGGCCTGCGCCTTAAGCTTAGGGGTCGTTCAAATATTGCGTAATCAGCTGAGGCGGGGGGTTTCCAAATGATTACTGTAATTTTGACACAATAGTTATGTGTAAAACTGATAACGGAGGGGGGGGGGGGGGGGGGGGGTGGTAAAAATGTGAACGACCGGCCCTTACTGAACGGCGCCAGGCGCCAGCCAGTCACTACGCTATAATATCTTCGACCAGTGTTTTTAGACCACTTGGTACTTTGAATATGCTGTACAATCTGACCACAATTCAAAGTCAATTTAATATTTTAAAATTTTCAAAGACACAGTCAAATTGAACAAAATGTCTTAAGGGGGAGGGTTCACCCTGATTTTTTTGTGAAACTTGGTTTCGAGATAGCAGTTGACCAACAAACTAGGACCGGTGACTGAACTTTTGAGGGGTCCCGGACCCCAACCGCCAAACGGTGCCCGCGGGGCAGCCACGCCCATATTTGGTCCAAACTAGGCCCAATTTAGCCAAATACCCTCAACATGCCCAAAACCCAGTAGTATAGGCTTACCTTCCATATAAAGTTGGTTTCATTCAAAAATATTGATATTTAACCAATTTATGGGCCAAAATCGACCAAATTTGGTGCGTATGCCCAAATATGGGCATATGGTTTTTGGCTCATAACTCAGTCATTTTTTGTCCAATCTTGATGAAAATTCATATACGAGTTCAAGGGACCAGTAGCTACAAGTAGAGCACCTAAAATCTGGGTTTTGGGCATGTTGAGGGTATTTGGCTAAATTGGGCCTAATTTGGACCAAATATGGGCGTGGCCGCCCCGTAGGCACCGTTTGGCGGTTGGGGTCTGGGACCCCCTCAAAAGTTTGGTCACCGGTCCTAGTTTGTTGGTCAACTGCTATCTCGAAACCAAGTTTCACAAAAAAATCAGGGTGAACCCCCCCCCCCCCCCCCCCCCCCCCCCCCCTTAACTAGGAAAACCTCCATGGTAATATATTCTTTCATAAGACAATCTTTCAAATCATACTACCAGCCAATAGCCATAAATTCTGAAAATAGATTGGTCTAGAAGTAAAAGGACCCGCATGATCTTCGGCTCTGTTGAAATTGTCGTTAAAATGTAGGAATTTTACTCGTTTTTAAAGTTCATAATTGCTATACACAGTGCTAGACGGGATACTGTTTAAAGATAATTTAGGGCTACTAAAAAGTTTACTTTGCACTAGACCTCTGTCAAATAGTAACTCGTTTGGTGAAAACGATGCGATTAAAATATAAAATTCATTTTTATCATGATCTCGCTGCTATAGACATCTTACTGTTCCCACTTTTTCGTTTCTGCTGAAGAATAGTCTCTTTTTCCCGAATAGTCTTACGTTTACTGTCGCTAAGTTTCCCATTAATATTGGTCGGTGTCAAGCTCCTACCATTTTTTCCTCCATTGCTTGTTCCAGTCCCTGAGTTACACTTCCTCTGAGAAACTCTCGATGAAAAAGCAGCCGTGCTGTCCAAATATTTTGGTTGTTTCACCAAAGTTGCGGGAATCCTGGTGGTGACCTCTCGATTCGAGGCTCTCGGTTTACTAGTCCTCTCAATAAGTATAGAATCACGCTCTAACTTCTCCAGTTCCAGGATCCTCCCCTCAAACGGAGACAGGGCCTCCTTACTGTGAAGATATGTGGTGGGATAAGGTAGCGGGTCTGTATAGGAGAAGCTTGTTGGTTTAGGTTTGGTGGGAGGGGTAGGTACCACCAGGGAGGTTGAGGTAGGGACGGGTGGTTTATATCGTGAAGAAGGAGCCGAGTTCAGACTTGTGGTTTGGAGTTTTGAGCAGCAGGAGCTTTGTCCTTGTACTTGTAAACTCCTGAAACCGGACAGTTTTTATTTAATGTCGGGGCGTACTATGGGAAATATGATTCAGTCATTTAATTTTGTCGAATAATAATTTTTGAATACAAACCTAGTGTCAGTATAATTGCTAAATGATTCGGGGAAAAGTAATATTTGGATAGACAATATGAAGCTTGTAAATACAAAATAGTACCACTCTACCTATTAAGATGAGGTGGTTGGAAAGGTGGTTTCGACAACACTGTACTGTTGGTGTTACAGTTAGTGTTACTCAGGGTGCTGTTATGGGTCCTGAAACAGTATTCCGGCTAACTTCTGATACTTTGCATGTCAATAATTTAATGGTAATTGACGTAAATTTGTTTTGACATAATATGTTTATTGTTTACGGTAAAAGAAATTGATTAAACGCGGTGTTACTGCAAGCTGTCATTGTCGTGATGGATTCACGTCGCCGCCAGAGGTTCTGTTAAATCAAATAAGAAAGTAATGTTTTTATTGCATGACAGCAAAGGGCAGCTGCAGCAACCATAAATAACGATTGTTAAACTTTAGGAGTTTCGTTTAAAAGGCAATTTGCATACTATCCTTTGCCTTCCAATTGTTTATTTTATCCTTTGATTACCATGAGCCGATCTAGAAAGCTAGTTTTAAACTAATTGAAATGAAATGAAATGAAATGAGGTATTTATATCCCGCTCATATGATTAACCAACAACACAAGGAAGGTGGTTAACCATGTCAGAGCGGCTGACTGTGAGTGATGTGAGCAAATGTGTAAAAATGAATAAGAATATAACGTAATATTAATATAAGACCAAGACAAAATTAAAACATCTTTTATTTTAAACCACACTAAACTAAAAAGAAGCAGAGACCATACAATACATGTAGGTATAATAAAGGTTAGTACAGTGACAAAGAAAGGTAGAGAACTTAGACATAAAATGGAGTGCGGTAAGAGATAAAAGCCAAGGTGTCTTGCGAAATGAAGACAAATGGAACGAAAAAACATCAAAACTGATTATATAATGGTTCTTTAACATTCGCTTGAAGCAGTTGGTATCAGTAATACATCTCAACATCAGTGGAAGAGAGTTCCATGCAATCGGTGCATGGCTTGAGAAACGTCTGTCATCAACTTTGGACTTTTTATTCTTTGGTACCTTGAGCATGAGATGGTCACCAGGTCTCTTCGACCTGGTCATGGTCATGGTGTTTGAGAGTTCTTTATCCGCTACATCCAAATCCAGTAGTGCTTTGAGGTAATCAGGTGCAGTACCGTGAACTGATTTGTGGGTTAATAGACAAACTTTAAAGAATATTCGTTGGTCTATAGGGAGTATGTGGGCCTTCTTATAGAAGGGAACCAAGTCCGTGGTTCTGTCTTCTATGTTATAGATGAAACGAACTGCCCCATTAAGGGTGGATCTAAGTTTGTTTAGTCTGGTCTTGGGTAGATTCATGTATAGAGAATTACAGTAATCTAACTTAGATATAACCAGTTGTTTCACCAACATCAATTTAATGCCTTCATCCAGGTAACGACCAATAGTTCTTAGGTTCATCATTGTCCAGCTACATTTCCTTTTGACATTATTGATCTGTCTTTCCATATTTAAAGTTTCATCAAATTTGACACCCAGACTCTTCCAGCTGTCTCCACTACAAATCTATTACATTTATTGAGTATTATATATCGCGATGGAAATATTTTAAGCGGGTAATAGCCTGTCCAAACCCAGGCTTCATTAACATAACATGAAGACTTTGTTGTAACTTATATGAAAAGCATTAATTAAATAATATTTATATAGCAAGTAACATTACTTACAAGTAACATTATTGAACTGTGTGGCGGCGAATAAGGAGTGAATCTTTGAAGTTCAAACTATTGAGCACGTTAGATCAATACATAAACAACTTACGAGGTATTTTCCATCTTTTCAAGCTTATTCAACATCTTTTGCTGCCATCTGGAGGTCGTTTGAGGCTGAAAATATGAATTGTAAACACCCAGTATCTACATCTTGATTCATATAATGACTTTAAATAATCATATTTGATACTACTGTTGGAAGTTGAAGTTTGTAAAAGCTCTTTAAAAATTGTTTTATAACATACTTGCGGATAAAAATATCGAGCAAAAATAAAATCAAAGGCTGCTAACAGTAACAAAAGACAAAATGCTCCACCTTGGCACCTAACAGCTGATAGTACATTTCGCGCACAACACTCTACCAAACAATTGGCTGAAACGTTCTAACGAGTATAATGGACCTCAATTGTTAATGAGTATAATGCAAGCTTCTCAGCTTAAGAAATCTTGCATGTGAGAGATAGTACTGTTCTGCCGCTAGTTAAAGTTTATTTAAAATCAGTGAAGTTGTTTGTAAAAGCTGGCCGACAAGGATGGAAGAACGGTAGTTTTGTCAATAGTAAGCTTGATGTTGAGCCTGAGGAGAGCACACAGCTTCGACGTTTTTAAATTATTGCAGCTAAAATGGAATTGCGGTAATTGGGAACTTCGGCAGAATCCAAGAAGCCCGACACAGATCCGTGGAATTCCACCGAAACATACAATATGATGGAAATTCATCGACATATTTTACGAAGCAATTCCATCGCCAGATTGTACGATGGTGGGTAATTATCCAGTTCCAGTGCGAGAATTTCAGTCTCAACAATCAAGTTATTCACCTTTTGTTCCGGAAGCTGTATCTTGTCCGCTGACGTACTGTTCTCATTGTCCTCCAGTGACTGAAAGTTACGATCAGTTAAAACTATTAAAGTAGAATAAATGTACTTTCTCTATTCGTAACTCTTTACTCTATCCATTTCAGAATCAGAAAGATCGAAACATTTGAAATCCAATGAGGTAGATAAGAGTTAGAAAATTTTCGACGAATCACTATTAGATGAAATTGCGCCAAAATTGTACGATCATGCAAAATTCAATTCAGCTTTAACCTTTAGGTAAAAACCTTCCGGATTCTTTGACTGCCGAAATTGTACGAACATTATTTCGGAATGGTGATGTTCATTCACGACCACAGGACTACCTTAATTTACACTGTCAATATTATAATAAGTTAAATGGCAATTATCTATTAGTTGTGACCGCTGCAGTATCTAATTATCATATATTGGTAATAGTAATGCCCAATGTTATTTAATGATATTTATGCTATTTTAAAGTCAAGGACCTGGACACAACGACGAAAATATTTATAAGTAATAACAGAATGAAGTATGTATTATTCAATACAGACTATTTTAGATTTCGTTTGGGTTAAAATCTAGCAGCGTCCAGGGAATATAATTCGATCTTGACTGTGAGTATTAAATTACTGAGTATTACTGTTAGACATGCAGCAGGTTATTGACTTATGAAATCCAAGCGGTCAACAAAATACATAATATTGAGCTCGATCTCAGTTGTAAGTTTATTGACAACTTAATTAACTTAATTAACTTAATTATTGAATTTATCATCTAAATCTGTAAACCTTTCGTTTGTAGTTGTTCGTCCTATGCCGTAAACACTTAATCACACAAAAGATTTGATACATGGTAATTACAGAAGACTGGAAACCAAAGCGGACAATGTAATTGACTGAATAGTGAATAGGATATATTAACTAAAACGACATATGTTTACAAAATAAAGCTGTGCTTGTCGAAGTTCCTGAACTCTAGTTCTACAGAAACTGAACGGATGAGTAGTCACAAGTCTTTAAAAAAGAACAAAACGCCTCATTTGAAATTGTAGAGATCGTAAGATTAACAGTAATGTGTCACGTAAGTAAACAAGCATATGATAACGGATCAGAGCTCCCACCACAGACTCACAGACTCATGTTCAATTGAGGGAAGATTGCCAAGATAAACCGAAATAGCTGAAATCATTGACAAAAATACTCGGTGGTTGCTCATGATTAGTCATGTGCGACCACAGATTCAAATTATTTATCAACATACACTTGATATGGTTATTTCTGATCATTTGTTAGTGGTATTCATTAAATAGAGCCATTAATATCAGTGCAATTTCTTTTTAAAACTGGATGCAAGATGGCTCTAAACCAACAAATTCAGAGAACGCGAGATTATGAACAACCATCGAGTATTATTTTGTGTTTATCAACTGACGCTTGTGGTCTGTTTATTTTGTATCGTCTATCATTTAGGACGTTAAAAGTGGCCGGTGTGATAATATGTGAACGATCTTAAAACTAGGCCTATAAAAAGTATGAAAACTGACCGGATATGCGACTAACTCTCAAATTGTAAATGCTGATAATAACATTTATATACACCTAACCTACACCTGTTATAGTACACACAATAAAACTCAGCTCTATTTCTTATACCTCGTGCTTTACAGAATGATGATTGTTACAAATAGGAGTTCTTGTAACATGAACAGCTTGTGACAAGGACTGGTCGCATTCCTGCTTTTGTCCCAGTCGTGGTGCGGGCTGATCAGGCTTCTGTCCAGGTTTGGGGGTTGCAGAGAAGGTGTTCCACTTGGCTCGAAGGGAACTGATAAACCGGGATGTCGTGTAGTTGTCAAACAGGTAGACTGGAAGGGACTTACAATTATATATTGTGAACAGAATAATTTCAATACTGATTTAAATACAAAACTCGAAACGCCATGATAAAAGTTCAGACTGGATAAAAATGGGAACAGAAAAAGAGCACAACACGGCTAAAGACGTACAAGTCACAAAAGGGTTATTGCTCCCAGAGCTGCAATAAAAGCATCTTTTCTTCACCCCTTTCTTCACCAAACTGGCTGGTTTGTACTCCAACTTGAGGATAGATATTTGTTTAGCAGACTTGGGCCGATACAAGGAGACAGGCCTGACTGGGAGACGGGACACTGCGGAGGATGAGGCGGGTCGCTCGGGGAGAACTGATCGGTGGTTTGGGAACAGGCGATCAGCGTGACTGTGGGCTGTTGCTGGTCGCTGGGTCAGTCCGGTTGCCATGGTGATTTTTACAGGAAGCTAGCGGTAAACAAAAATCGTGAAAGTTGAGGTATAGGTGGCAAATTAGTTGATTGAAAAGTCTTTTTATAGTTATACACCGAATCAGATTCAGTGAAAATTCAAGGGTGAAAGTAAGAATTAGTAAGCGAGGAAAACAATAATGTGAATGATAACATGATCATGACGATCGTGTCACTGCGAGTAAGCTGCGTTAAAACACTCAAAAGTGAGAGTAAGTGTTCAATCTCTCAGCACTCTCAGCAGAACAAATTAATCAAACTCCGCGTCTTAACTGCCTAGTCCAGCTTCAATAACATTAATTAGTTGCAAGCAATTTTTAGAAACAGCTGTTTAAGCACAAGCAACCTTTGGAGTTCTGCCTTTAGTAAATATATCACGGTTTTTGACATACTTTAATGGCCCCTATTCTACCGCACCTAATTGTGCTGGCCCTTGCCCCTTATCATAGACGCAAGTAAATTCGAAAATTTAGAAAACTGTATACATCTTTATGATGTTAATATAGATTTATATTTTACAATTGGAAGTAAATTATACAAATTTTATAATTTTAATGTGGATTTTTCTTGATTTCTATCAAGCAATTGGATAAAAGGTCTTAAACCAAAGTTAACTCAAGAAGTATTAAGAACGATCCACAAATATCCGAAATGATCCTCATGCAATATGCACTTCTGTAATTTTAAGATGCCTGAATAACTTAGATGATAAGCCAATTGATTCTAAAATCATTTTAGCAAGAATTTTACAGCTGAACCTAAAATCCGGTATCTATACTGCCGACCGTACCCTAATGGTTGCCCCCAACTCTAAGCGACCCAGCGACCGTACTGGGTCCTGCAGAATAAGAGCGCACAAGGCAACAATGGTACTCTAATTAATCACATCTCTGTGAATAGCTCCATCACAGGTCTTCAATCACAAGTCATCAAGCATACTACAAATAGTCAACAAATAATACATTGTTCAGAAGATGCGTTTAATACCTACCAAGAGAGACGCTTTAGTACTAATAATCAATAACATATTCGTAATGAACAATAAAAATCATGCTATATTTAAAGAAACAGGCTCTACAGATGGTGGTCGCCAGAATTTCAACAATCGCCTTTGATCGAGCCCACCCAAACAAACCACGAAAAAGTCACAAAACAGAGTTAAACCACGTCGTGGTGTCAAAGAGCGAGATCTGCGGAGACCTGGCCGGAATATTTCGAATCTGGTTGTCCCGGCCCTTGTCAATAGTGATGTAGTTCACCGTGTCTCTGCCAAGCCACAACCGGACAACATCACCGCCACTTCTCACCACAATCTACTCAAAATATTATCAAAATATTATGGGAACCACGGCACAGAGTACCACGACAAACCACGCAATATTAAATATTCACTTAGTTGCAATCGTTTAAACGGAGCCCCCCGATACATGTACTGCAGAGAATAGCAAGTAGCACTTGTCAGTTTTAAAATAGTGGATGTTTCAAAAACAAATATTGCATATTACACCACGGTGCCGGAAAAGGCGTAACTGTCTTTTTTTGCTGAAATCATTGTCAGACGGGTCACGTACAGTCATGTTATATTCTAATAACATAAACCCGCCACGCAAAGGGTTTATATAACAGATCATCCCGCGCTAGCGGGATGATCTGATAAACACATACGAGTGCGCGCAGCGCACGAGTTTTGTGTTAATATGTAATCCCGAAGCGCCAGCTGAGGGATTACATTTATTTAGCCCTGAGCGTGAAGTGTTTATGGATTATAATTATCTCCGGCGATTTCGACAAGGGATTTATACAAGGGATTGACTCTAACTGTACTGTCCGGAACACGATTGGAAAGCAGTTCATCAATCTGAATGTCAAACCGATCTGTCATAGTGGAGCAATAGCTTGAACGTTAGCAGGAACAAGAGCTGGAAGGAGAGCGTTGGAGAAATTCCAAGAATTAGCTGCTTTGGCAACGTTCCCAGGAATTTGCGTGTAAAAGAAGTGGACGGTTACGATGTTTCATATCACGTGGTGCGCTTTCGTGTCACGTGGTATAGACTCGGCGTATGCTATTGGTGGCACGTGGTACGCACGTGACGCGCCCACGTGATCGCGCGTCTAACTGTTCTACTATTATCGAGTTCTAATCAGCAGTATCATTGATTATTGTAAGTCGGAGAATTGCATGATAAACATCAGTTACGACTAAAAAGCGGGCCGGGTTTATACAAATTTCCGGGGCGGGATGATATCACCTTGAGATGTTTATCTAACAGCGGGCCGGGCTGAGTGATCTAAGATGAGAAGTATGTATCATACGTACTTTTCAAAGTATCGCACAAGTACGTACTTTTAAAATACTGCGGAAAAGTACGCAGATACAATAATGTAGTGCACGTGTCAAACTTTCGCGCGGTTTTTAAAATTTCGCGCGATTTCAGAGTCTTATAAGTTGTAGATCATCAAAGAAGAGTTTTAGCGAGAGTTTTACAGCTAGACTGATGAAGTTTGACAGCGGTATCGCCCTGAGAGAACTCGAGCATTACAGGCTAAATATGGACAGCGAGGGGCTCAATTTATACACCGAAGTGGATTCGTTGCAGAATCTACCAAATCCTATGTTGTATTGGAGATACTATAGCCCACAGAGTTATGAGGTTCTCCATTTGATCGCTAGAAAAGTTTTTAGTGTTCTGACTTCTTCCTCAGTCTGTGAACAAAATTTTAGAGACATGGAGTATATCTACTGCAGTAGAAGACTACGCACTAAGCCTGAGAGATTCAACAAATTGATCTACATCTACTCTAATGCAAAACTGAAACGTTAAAGGCAAGACTATTATCGGCTCGAGAATTGAGCATAAATAGTCGACTTCTATCCAGAAATGGGGGTCAAACACTAAATCTTTAGCGCACTCAAACAAATTCTTGTATGCATTACTTTTATTGCTAACAGACTCAGTAAGGGTTGGATCAATATAAGTCTAAATCAAAGTATCCTTGGAACCCTTCAGTCTCTCCAACATAATAAACTGGGTGGCAAACCGAGTTTCCCCTGAAGGCCTGGCAATGGAAACGCTAGTACTTTGCCGGATAATTGGGCTATGTCCGGCATTTTAATTTCATAATAGCAATTAACGTTCATTATGTTCCGAACGTTAAAATCTTTTAGCGAACGCGTTCACAAACTATTTTTAGTGAACGTTCCGTACGCGGTACGTTCACTACAACTAAGGTTAAAGCTGAAAATAAATTTGATCTGTTGAAATGATGATGCTAGAAAGTTCATTGTTTTTTGTTTTGATGAAATGATGAAGCTTATTAAACTTTCTTTGTTATCTGCGATTGAGTGTTTCTATTATCTCCATGAATATGGCTTTCAAAACCATCATGACAATGAAATTTCAATCGTGGAAGTCGGGAGTTTCCAATAAATAAAACGTCGGATCTAAAAAAAGTTACATCGCGCCTGTGAAAATAAGTTTGAAAATTTTTTGAATCGTACACTGAGGTATCATACGTACTTTTCAAAAGAAAGTACAAGTACGTACTTTTCGCCCGGTATCATACATACTTCTCATCTTAGTGAGTGATAATATGATCCCGCGTCGAAATCCCGGAGATATTTATAATCATAGAAAACTTGTCAGTTTGTACATCTTTAAAAAAAGTTTCGATATCAAAAGTTGGAAATGCGGTAAATGTTCAAATCTTAAACGATATATGAATAAAATTTTCAAATGTGATGGACATTGCACGGTAGCCCGCTTAGGCAAACTATAAAACTAACAAAATTAAGTAGGATAGCAAGTAGCCTGTACATTTTAACAACCTGAATTTTGACGCGCAAATGATATAACAGTTTGAATTTGGATAAAGCATGCTAAGTGTATCATGACGATCTAAAACATCACCACATTTACAGAACTTACCCGGGCGTAGAGCCTAGTCCCACAAATCTTGCACTTCCACAGCAGCACACCCCGGACAACTCCCAGGTGGACAAACTTGACGACGGAGAAGCCGCAGAGACAAGATGCGAAACATTCCGTCATCATCGTTGGACAAGAACATCAGAGTTTGAGTTAGAGCGAATGAAGCGAGCAGGAATCATTTAACATTTGCAATCTTAATGCACATCATAATTAGATTATTGAAGCTAAGTATTTGTGGCTCTTTGATGGCGGTTGGTTTGAAGCATTAAATGTAATGCAGCATGGAAAGTTAATTTTCATGCGGTGTAAATTTGTTAATGTTTGATCGAAGATTTAAGTGAGGAATGCCAAAATATCGCTGGTGGTTTTAATTAAAGAATTATACTATAACTGATTCACGATCAAACAATCATTGCTCAAGTTTAATGGCAAATCAAAGTTAGAGTGGTAAGCAAACTTAGCAGATTGTAAGCTACAACAAGTTTAGTGGTGTTACGGAAGTTAAGAAGTTAAGTCAAATTTATACGTAAATTTCCAGAACGATAACCTGTGACCCTCCCTAACTTTCCAGGACGATAACTTGTGACCCTCCCTAAATTTCCAGGATGATAACCTGCGACCCTCCCTAAATTTCCAGGACGATAACTTGTGACCCTCCCTAAATTTCCAGGACGATAACTTGTGACCGACCCTCCCTAAATTTCCAGGACGATCTTCAAAAATATGGTTTGTAGCGATATCTGGTATAAACGTATTACAGTACGTACTCGATAATCGATATGGGTCCTTTAGTCAGGGTCCTGGTAGCTGTAGCTGTAGCTGTAGCTGTAGCTGTAGCTGTAGCACAACAACAACACAATACCTCAGTAGGCTACAGTGCAGACACGACACTGCTCAAGTTTGAGTTTCAAGCTGCGTGAATAGCCATTAATTTACAGGCAGAGTCTGGGGATCTTCAGGGTCGGGACGTTACCTCCCTCGAGATAGGCTGAATCTTATCTCCCCAATAAAAAACACTGAAAAACATTAACGTAGTGGCTGTGACCTCGCTCACTTCTTACGTTTAAGTGCTGTGAAAGGGGGAGGATTGTAACTTTACCTTGGTTGATAAGAAACCAAAGTTAAGCAGGAAGCCACACTTCAGAAACTGTACATCAGAATATGTGACTCTAGAAACGAGTGTCATAACTGCAAGAGTGGCGTTTAAAAAAATTAGAAATGTAGCTTTTTGTAGAGGATTACAAACTTAGCTTTCGCAGGAAAAGGATAGAAATCTATGTTATCAGGCCGACAAGACATTTTCTCAACAACTTGATATTTTGGTGATGATCATTAGACCTCGGTATTCCAGAGTCTAAGGAAAGGGGACGTTTCTACCCTCGCTAACACGAACGAACCATATCAACGGAAAAACGGATATCAAATACCATATTGGGAAATTTCAGATAAGCTCTCTAATAATGCAAAGGGTAGATTATACTAAATACATTCGTCACCGATATAGGGTCATTGTAAATTGTAATAAATACCCAAACGAGGATGTTGCCATGACAACCAAATATATCATCCATTATCGCTAATATATATTGATTTTGTTCTCCCTACCCTCTATCTCTCTCTCCCTCTCTCTACTAGACAAATAAAAAAGTGCAATAAGGACAACAACATAACACCTTTAAAACGCAGCTTATAAACTTCACGAGGCACCCATAAGCTGTAATTTTGAAAACACATCATCTGTATGCATTCATAATAGGATTGCAGCTGTGCTACTATAACGTTATATATAATAACGGTCGTTGTGTTCGACAGATTTCGTGTCAATTTAAGTAAAGTATGTATGTTAAGTCTTTGAATGACAATAAATTACTCATATTTTAACCTTAGACCATCTGGGAAGAGCTTAAGTTAAGGCATAATATTTTGATGGCAGAATTTTCATACCAAATTATGGTGCTATTTATAAAGTTTTAGAAACTTGTGGTATATGCCATATGAGAGGCGACACCGAATTTATTTAAAGGACCATTTCTAATTACTGTCCATATTTTTGGAACAAAATCTGTGTTTCCGGTCGCGGTGGACAAATTTGTTATTTTGACGCAATGTGGTTTTCTTTAATCTTTTAAACATTGGAAATTTTAAAAAATAGAACACTATCTTACGTGATTCTCGAAGAGCTCCTCAAAGAGTATAGCACTTCGTGACATTTGCCGCTCCTCGTGCTGCTTCTGAGACATTATGTCATGGTTGAGAAAGTTAGCTTTCTTCAATACACGTTTGTGCGTCAGTAAATAAACAATCGTGTTTTTCAATATATCAGCGGTAACGATTGCGGCCGTTTATTGAGCTTGATACAATGGTCAGCAGTTTCCAATTTTAATATATAATAACTATTATGTCATAACTGTTATGTCATAGCGAAGAAGTATATTCGTTTCTAAATTTGATGAAATGGCATAACAATCTTAGCGATTACAATCTTACAATGTCAAATAAGAATTTGAAAAATAAATAATTAATAGAATAATTAGGCCTAATAGCGGCTTGTTTTAGAGCAGCTAACTTAGTCCAGTTAAAGACTAAAGTAGCTACTCTCATCAACTAACCAGTTTATCCTGTATGTATTCCGGGAGTGGCTTTATGTACAGATCTGTTAGCTCCTCTCTGATCCCTGCTGGTGTTTTCCTTCTCTGTACTTTCTCTAAACTGAGGGAGGGAGGGAGGTTACTTTCTCTAAACTGAGGGAGGGAGGGAGGTCAACTTCTCTAAACTGAGGGAGGGAGGGAGGTTACTTTATCTAAACTGAGGGAGGGAGGGAGGTTACTTTATCTAAACTGAGGGAGGGAGGGAGGTTACTTTCTCTAAACTGAGGGAGGGAGGGAGGTTACTTTCTCTAAACTGAGGGAGGGAGGGAGGTCAACTTCTCTAAACTGAGGGAGGGAGGGAGGTTACTTTATCTAAACTGAGGGAGGGAGGGAGGTCAACTTCTCTAAACTGAGGGAGGGAGGGAGGTTACTTTCTCTAACCTGAGTGAGGGAGGGAGGGAGGTTACTTACTCGATCTTCTCTAGCAACTCTATCTACTGGTTAAGTTTGAGCTGTATGTTCAAAATGGAGGTATCCGACCCTCAAATGACTCTGTGGATACATATTGATTCTGTAGATTTCTTACACTCTTATATGGAGTTATGTAACATGTAATTAATGTAACATGTATTCTATCTAAGTAAACTATAGGTACAAATATAATATTAATCATAAGCTAAAATGTACTAATCTTTGTATTCTAAATGGGGAAAAAGAAGAAACATTGTCAGTCAGTCGAGAAAATTGTCAGTCAGGCTATATGGCAGCTTTGTAGATGTTGTGACTATGCTAGTAGTGGTCCCAGGCTTGCGACTGGAATTGCGGTGTTAAATCGATTTAATGGTACCAACGATCCACCTCCCACTTGTTGTTTGGTACTTAGCATTAATAGTGTTAGCTGTAGCCATTTATAGCAAGAATCTTAAAACTAAAGGGGATGACAAGGAAAAGAGGAAGGAAAAAGAATAACGGGACAAACAATTAATTAAAGTATTTATAGGAGCATTAGATATTGTAATTACAAGCTTCAATAATAAATCACTGACTAAAACTTCTAATTAAAATGACACTTGGTACGCTCGCCCATTTTCACTGGTCAGTCTGAACTTCGGTTTAGCACGTTGTACACTTATTCACCTAAGTTTCAGAATTTGTTCAGTTTAGCAGAGTTAGTACCCGTGTTTCAATAAATCAAAAGATATCAGGGGAGTTCTTTAATAATGTTACGGTCATCTAGAATACCGAACTTCCTGAAAACGTTATCATATTTCCTCAGACAACGTTTAATGCCTTTAATCAGTCTATCACGGCTATATCCTCTATCAATTAGAATTTTGAATATTTTGTGAAGATGGGAGGTAAAGATATCCAATCTAGTGCAAACATTACCATATCTAAGAACTTGACTTGAAAAAACGTTGTAGCCAACCTCGGTTGGGATGTTACTGTGAGGAAATGTAAGGGATACAACATGAAAATTAAAATCATCAGTTTTGTTATACACTGATATTTCTAGTCCTTCTGTGGAAATATTAATATTTAAATCAAGGTAGTTAATGATTTTATTATTGGAACCAGCTCGCTCCATCTCCAATGAATTAGGATAAATATCTTTAATCAATTGATGAAAGTAAAGGTAGTTAATAATAGATAAATCGTCAACATATCGTTTATTATTGGATAATATCTTTGCTAATCCCATTTTCTTTTCCTGAAGTAAACGTTTCATATAATTAAATTCCTTTTTGCCAACAGTGAGATCAGCTATAGGGGAACTTGAATTTCCACCCATAGGAATACCCTTGGTTTGTATGAATACAATCCCACCGAAGACGACATAAGTGTTATAAATAATAAATTTAACAGCCTCTTTTAGGTCATCTTGACTAAAGCAGGCATGACAATCATAGGTTTTATTGGAAAAGAAACATGTATTACTGTCTCTTTTAGAAATACAAATATATCTATTACGGTCTGAAAATATTAAATCAACAACTTCATTAATCATATTCTCTACTTCAATCAAGTCTAATCTGGTATAAAGAGTAGTAAAATCATATACTTGTATATTATAAACATCGCTATTTTTGATAGCTTCAAGGAATTCACTTGAGGAATCTATGCTCCAAAACATGTTTATACCGCTGTTGTTGTAGATTGCCTCGCAGTATTTCTTGAAGTATTTCCTCAAAAGTTTCAGACAACAGTTAACTTGGACGTTAAGTTGTTTCGTAACGCAAAAACGGGCACCTGCAATGAACCTCGCCTTGTAAGGGTTCTTATGAAGCTTAGGGTTCCAGAAGATGCGTGCTAGTCGCAAGTTTTTATCTTCAACTTGTACATTAAATCTCTCCTTTAGACTCTCAGATATTTTATTGACATAATGAGTCTCGTCTTCGCTACAGGGTTTATATGTATCATTACCTATACATTCTAGAGTATTAGGATCAAAACCCATTTCATTGACAAGAGTTTTTACATAAAACTTTTTACAAATAAATGAAAAATTACCAGAAGCTTTGTCGATACTACAAATAATGTATTTACTTTTCAGCAATTTAAGACTTCTTTTAACATCATCTTTTTCCAGTGTGTTTTCTTTTATTTCAAATGTTTCAGGAAAGTTTTTCTTGTAATATTCAATACGATTGGAAACTATTGATAACACTTTTTCCTTCCAATCGCTGAACTTTACTTCTTTTTGACAGTACTTTCTACTTTTTGATTTTATAAATTTATCGACAGCTTCGGTAACTGACATATATATCTCATCTGGAGATTTAAATGTGGGAATTCTGTATTTACAACCGTAGGAAAGTACTTCCCTAAGTTCAACATTATCAACAATATCTAAATTACCAGTAACTACATGTCCATGAGGAGGATAATTGAAAGGGGAGGAGTGACAATCGCATGGACTACCTAAAATAGATTTAATGTCAGAAATAGAAAGTTTCTTTAAGAATGAAGCATAGTTACAAATAGAAAGACTTATAGGATCATTATACTCATAATAAATCTGTAATGGTGTAAAAGACTGAATCAAAATGGGAAGCAAATCAATGACTGAAGTGTCAGAGAAAATAGATTTTAGGTTAAGATTATCAATGAATTTGCAATTAAATGGAACAATTATAAATTCTCTATTACTGGATTCAGATTTGTTCTGATGGTATTTGGGGGAAAATGTTGAACAGAAAGAGGAACATACGTTGTAAATCAATCCTGAATTATTTTGACTCAGAGAGTAGAGAGTGTCTAAATCTGATAAGCTATAACATTTTAATGTTTTGTATATGGAATGTTCTGAAGAGATGTTATCTTTCAGCCTGTTAATATCAGACTCTATGGTATCCAGAGACTTCTTAGGCTGAACTTTCTTCTTTCCATTTCCTCTGCCACGTTTGTATCGAGCAATCTGTCCACTAAAATAATTCATAACCCGATCTTGGGAGATGTTGCCCGTTCCTTTCTTCTTGTCATTAAGACCAAGAGGGAATGCTGTCCCAAGCTTCTCTATCCAGTAATCCTCCAGGAGAAGTAAATCATTTTTGACATCGGTGGACATGTCAGAATCAACATAATCTACAATCTGTATGGAAGCATCTGAGAAGACGTGACCAGGAATATTAAAATGTTCATATAAAAATGTGGATGATTTGGCTTTGACACAATTTCTGTGGCCATTGACTCTTTTATGAAGTGGTTGAGTTGTTTCTCCAACATATTGTTTTTTACAGGTAGAACAGGTAATAACATAAATAACATTATTAGTTTTACAATTAAATATAAAATTTGTATGTCCAAAGATAAAATCATTATTAAAAGTACTGCTCCTAAATGTATTAACAGGATTAAAACTGTTGCAAGTGAGACAACCTCTACCATTGCAACATCTAAAAGTGCTAGAAAAGACATTACTAGGGGTTACCCATTTATTCAAGGATTTTGAGAAAAATTTACCATTACGTTTAAGTCAAGAAGGTAACATCATCCCTTTCGGCGTTTCCGCCTAGACCCAACGACTCGAGATCATAGGCACATATTAGGTGCGATGGGTGCGGGATCGCACAATTTAGCGTTTTCCGCACATTTCCGCATAATTTATTGTTTTCCGCACATTTTGTAATTTTCTGCATATTTCCGCATAATCTAGCATTTTCCGCGTAATTTCGCATAATTTTGAAATTTTCGCGTTAAGATTTTCGAGTGTAAAAACCAAAATATGTTAAAAATCGGGACCTTTTAGGACCGTGACTCAGGCCCTTTCGGGACCCTGACCGAGGCCCTTTCGGGACCGTGACCCAGGCCCTTTTGGAACTCATACCTAGGCCACGTGACCCAGTTACCACGTGACCCAGGCCCTTTCGGGACCCTGACCCAGGCCCTTTCGGGACCGTGACCCAAGCCCTTTCGGGACCGTTACCCAGGCCCTTTCGGGACCGTGACCCAGGCCCTTTTGGAACTCATACCTAGGCCACGTGACCCAGTTACCACGTGACCCAGGCCCTTTCGGGACCCTGACCCAGGCCCTTTCGGGACCGTGACCCAGGCCCTTTCGGGACCGTTACCCAGGCCCTTTCGGAACCGTGACCCAGGCCTTTTCGGGACCGTGACCCAGGCCGTTATGGAACCCTCGTCGTTACCGTACTTCGATTATAGTGTATCAGTTATCATTCGTAACTTCACCACATCATCTGATTACTCTATATCACATCACAACGTCATGGACCGTTTCCTAAAGAAATGACCCATCATCAAGCTCACCACACAAGAAACATATTTGCGATCACGCATGGGATCTGATCGACTCTATCAAGAGGCGTCTTCAAATAACTGTCTCCTGATCTCTACCAGATCAAGTCACTGTTCTCAGATAACTGAATCTCAATATAGGTTCAATCATGGTCTTAGTAAAGAACTACACCCTCAGTAACACATAAACAGACCTATTTTTGATAAGAGCGGCGGTTATACGTTTAGAATTTCCAAAGTCCTTGAGAAAATGCAAAAGAAAACCGCACAATTCCCGCACAAATTTCGAAAAAATCGCCGCACATTTGGCGCATAATCGGTAAAAATTTACCGCACCTTACCGCACATTTTACCTTTATAGTCGGG